CCAACGCGCCATTTTTAGAGCTAGGGAAACGAAATACATACCATACGATAGAGAATTGATCAAGGAACACGATAGTGAAGGTTTCAAGTCGATATCTCCCACCGTTTTGCCGCAATCGCCGCGGAAAGTTGAAAAAGTTTGATTTTTTCGGAAAATTTGACCTTTGACCGGTCATAAGTAGGTCAAATGTTGACCTAGGACCAAAAAATATACCACCAATCGCGAGATCTCGTTGAGAGCAATCCGTTGTTTTTTTCCGCTAAGCTCTACGACCTTCCGTTTCGAAACGCCAGGAGGGGGGTCGTAACAACCCCCCCCCCCCCTGGTCGTTCGTGTTATGAGAAATGGCCTGGTCGTGCGAGGGTTAATTAAAGTAGTAACTTGCCCATAATTACCAACCTTTAATAAACCCATGAGCTATATATGCATATAAAGCATTTTCAACCTAGATGATGCAGCTTCAGCCTTCATACAGGTTGGAAATAAAAGGCTTCAACCTAATTTTTTAAAATGTATCTATGCTTTATATTTCATGTTGATGGTTATTAAAACTTGACTTTGTAAAATATGTCATAGACCTCTGTCTGTAATTGTATACAGTCATAGACCTCTGTAGTCTGTATACAGAGTTACAGACAGAGGTCTATGCTATGAATATGTCTTACTAAGAGAAGGTTGGTTAATGTTTGGTCATGTTTCATCTGTCAGTGCCCAATGGCCAGTGCCATCTGGTATGTCAGCTTTGCGCAAGTTTGTAGTTTTAATGTTTTTGGGCATAATACATTCTGAGACATGTAGAATTATTTTTATAACATATTTATGTAAATATCTTAAAACATGCTGTATTCGGTACAAAGTCGGTATTTTTTCTGGGTTTGCCCAAGTCGGTTTGGTATCGGTATTCATACAGTACTTTGGGTTGGTATCGGTTCGGTATTGGGTTCCAAATTTTCTGAAATTGACATCACTAGTACGCAACGAACTTAACCTAACACCACAAGGGGTCGCCTCCAGATCTCGAGAACGGCTGGACCGATTGCGCTCAAATTTGTCACATGACTAGAGGCCGGCGAGAAGGTTGCCTTACCAAAGTTAGTTGGGACCCATATTGCACGTGCTCACGTGCAAGGTGCCGCTCCCACATCTGAAGAACGACTGTGTCGATTGCAATCATATTTGGTACATTGCAAGAGACCAGTTGGTAGGGTGCCGTGCACCGAGGAGCCTGTAGCTCCGCGCGTGCTCACGTGCGCACGTGCGCACCCATCTGTCATATCTCAGGAAAGGGACGGACCGATTACAATGAAATCTGGTGTATGATTGGATGCTGACCGTGTATGAGTATTTCCAAGTCGACGAAGGTGTGATAATGCACGTGCGCACGTGCACGAGCACATCCAACATTAACAGCTTAAAAACTGGAAGGCCGATTTCGATCCAATTTGCCGTGGGATTAGGGGATAAGACAACAAATTGCATTGACTGTGTGCATCAGAATAAGTGTGAATATGCACAACCCATTTTTTAGAGCTGAAAAATGAGCACGCTGGTGGTGATCAGATTCGGTTCATGATCGATAGCGTAGCTCACTCAGGCTGGGTAGTACGCTCGTCGCTCAGGTCAGGTATATACCTGACCTGACTGAAATCCCCAGTCTGAGCGAGCTACGCTATCGATTATGACCCGAAGCTGATCACCACTGCAGCCTCTTCCCGTTTTTCAGCTATAAAAATGGGTTGTGCATCTTCATATGTGCATACTCACACCCATTATGATGCACACAGTCAATTCACTTTGTCATCTTATCCCTTAATCGCACGGAAAATTTGATCGAAATCGGCCATCCAGTTTTTAAGCTGTTGCTGTTGGGTGTGTACTTGCGCACATGCATATTCAGTGCTGGAACACAATTAATCCTCGCCGGCCGAGGGGGGGGGGGGGCGGGTGCCGCCCCCCATAGGGTTTTTTCGCGATAGCTCCGAACACGCTGGCGATAGAGAGCTGAAACTTGGCATACCTGACCTTTGATCCAAGCCGCATCTTTTGACACCAACCGCATTTTTGGGTCAGGTCAGGTCACTGACCTATGACGTCATAAGTGAACCTCTGCACGGTCTTCAGATGTCGCAACTTCGCAACGCCCTCACTGCCAGAGGAGATGTCACAGGGAAATGAAACTTGCAGGATCTAGTATCCATTATGAGTCTCACAACTTGTATATCTCGGATTTTTCCTAAAGGTCTATGAGGTCAGGTCATTTTCGTGACCTCACCATTATAAGTCAATGGGGAAAAATGAAAACTGTTATTCTGGCGCCGGGAATGATCTCCATCTATCTCAAGCACACAGAATCGTGATTTGATGCACTCCTTGCAAGGTTAGATGCGTCACTTTTGCAATGTTGACCTTGTGTGACGTCATTTATGACGTCATCAAGGTCATATTAGTTTTTCGTCAATAACTCCTGATCAAATTGAGCTAGCGAGTCGGGGAAGCCACCAATGGACTCTGGAAGACCTGCCGAATCGAATGATATGCAACTTGAACTCTTTCGACCAACTTCGTGACCTTGGGGTGCTGACCTGACCTTGACCTGAGGTCAACACCCCAAGTTGACCTGACCCGAACAAAAAGTATATCATTCGACGCGCCTGAGCGAGGCGAACACGATGCTGCCAAAATCGCGGCTCTGCGGCCGTTTTTTGCGAAGTTATTCACCAAAAACTGAACCGTACCTTGGGGCACTTGACCTGACCTCAGAGGTCACCGGTTGACCTAGGACCTTAAAATCGGGTACCAATCTCTGCGTCTCGTAACGGCGCACACGCTCGTTTTTTCCGCGACGCGCTAGCTCCACCAGGGGCGAAACGGCGAGGGGGGTCGTACCCGCCCCCCCCCCCCCCTCGGCCGGCGCGTATGTAGAAAACCAATAGGTCCGGCGAGGGTTAATGCACTTTGTTATTTCCGAATCGCACACCAGTTTTTACTGAGATCGGCTTGTCCGTTTTTAGCTGTAAATATGGGGTGTGCGGTGCGCACGTGCGCACGTCCATTATCACACCTTCGTCGACTTAGAAAAACTCATACACGGTCAGCATCCAATCACACACAAAATTTCATTGTAATCGGTCCGTTCGTTCCTGAGATATGACAGATGGGTGTGCACGTGCGCACGTTAGCACACGCAGAGCTACAGGCTCCTCGGTGCACGGCACCCTACCTATTGGTCTCTTGCGATGTGCCAAATATGATTGCAATCGACACAGCCGTTCTTCAGATGTTGGAGCAGCACCTTGCATGTGCGCACATGCAATATGGGTCCCAACTGACTTTCGCAAGGCACCATTCTCGACGGTCTCTAATTGTGTGACAAATTTGAGCGCAATCGGTTCAGCCGTTCTCAAGATCTGGAGGCGACCCCTGCACGTGCGCACGTGCATTACCTCACCTACATCGACTTAGAAAAACTCATACACATTCAGCATCCAATCACGCACCAAATTTCATTGCAATCGGTCACTCCGTTCCTGAGATATGACAGAGGGGTGTGCACGTGAGCACGTGAGCACGCGCAGAGCTACAACCTACCCGGTGCACGGCACTCTACTTACTGGTCTCTTGCGAGGTGCCAAATTTGAGCGCAGTCGGCCCAGCCGTTTTCGAGATCTGGAAGCGGCACCCTGCACGTGCGCACGTGCAATATGGGTCCCAACTGACTTAAGCACGGCACCCTTCTCACCGGTCTCTAATCGCGTACCAAATTTGAGCGCAATCGGTCCAGCCGTTCTCGAGATCTGGAAGCGACCCCTGCACGTGCGCACGTGCAATAGCACCCCAACCATGACATACGGATATGCATTGCCCGGTGGGTGCCTACTGCCTACATGAATGCCAAGTCTCAGCGAAATCGCCCCAGTAGTTGCTGAGTTACTGTAATGGGAACAAATTTAACACCCCCTCTGTTTTTTTGCACTTTGCACGTGCAGCGGGGGTCACTCACGTGCACCAAGAGTATCCAATGTTTGTTAGAAGGGATACAGCTACTCTACAAAAGTTTCCGCAAGTCAATCGCCCCAGTGGCTACTGAGATATAGGCCTCTCAAAATTGTTACTCCAGCAGAACAACTTAAACACCCCGACTTTTCACGTGCCACGTGCCACGACGGTCACCTGAATGCATCACGATAAGTGAATTGCGGGGCAGAAAGGATGGAGCTACCCAACAAAAAAGACCGCAGGCGAATCGGCCCAGCGGTTGCTGAGATATCAGCCTCTCAAAATACTGATTAAAAATCCGTCATTAAAAATAAGAGGCCAAAGTGGCCTCTTATTTTTCGCGCCAAAAACGAGTGTCCAATCCAGGTAGTTCATGTAATCTATGACATTATCTATGGGTGGGGAAGTGCGGAAAGGATGAAAAAATGACAAGTTAAATCGCACTCCCATTGCCTTTTACTGGAACGGAGCTGATTACCTACCTACTGCAGCATCATAAGTAACTACTGTTTAAATATTTAACTTACTAAAATAACTACATAAGTAGGTAACTTTTTTTAAATAGATAAATCAAAAATTTCGCTCGAACAGGAGCACGTAATGCTTGGATGAGTCCTAATTATGGCAGAAAATACTACTTCAGGACTAATGTCTGTCAAATAAGATAAGTTTTCCTCTTATTATTATGCTAGAAAAAGTAGGACGTATTCACGAAACGTAAAATTAGGAATTTCTCGCAAATCACCTAAACCAATGCGGTGCACTGCCCATACCTGCACTTCTGTTGACGTCACGCTGCCAAAAGACTGTCAGCTGTCGCTTTAGACCTTTTCATATTTCTGATATCGGGGTGGGCGGTGTTCCCCAGAGGGCGGTGTTCCCCCATCTTCCCCTAGGTAAGTACCTAATACCTAGACTCTTTATCTTGTGGGCATCTTATACAATGTATCCCTACACTTCATTGACATTTGTCTTTTGATGCTGATCTTTCGCATAAATACAGATACCTAAAACACGTTTTTATTTTTCCAATTCCTCAACTCAATCATCAGTTGATCAGCAGAGCGGCAGCACCAGCAGAACACCGGCGATCAGGGCGCCACCTGTAGTCGGCCGGGCTTCTTTCCGACTCCCACCAGACTCGGCCAGGTGGCAGCACCGTCCGTCGCCGCAGTGGTACAGACCTTCTGAGCAAGTGACTTCAAGGGTGGCCCATGACACGCCCGGTATGTCTCTCCTTATCTCCCTGTGTGTCCAAGTGCACAGATGACGTCACACGAAGGGGCGGAGTCGGGGGCGGAGCCTAGCGCAACGGCCGCCATAGTTGAATTTGTTTTATAAGAATATAATCTATATTTTGGCTTTCAGTCAATTGTTATCGATAGTTTTATGAACGGGTAGCTGTAATATAAGTGATTTTTAAAGAAAAAACACATATTCTACTTGCAATTTCGATTTGAGTCCGACCCTCGCCTAGATTCGAACGCATGACCTTTGGATCACGGTGCAAGCATCCTAACCACTAAACTACCGCGGTCCCCCTCCCCGGTAGGCCTTAGTGCAACCGGGATGCAAAATTAAAAAAAAACGGCGAAGAGGCCGGCGGAAGGGAGGCTGCGGAGGCAAGGGGGCTTTATTACGAATTTTCGGAAAAACTAATGGGTTTAGTGAAAAACTGCTCTTGGATAATTCAAAGAAAAATGTCTCGTCTTTCCGATGATGCACTTAGTTTTGTGCTAGCTCCAACAGAGTTTGTTCTACAGCGCTTCAAAAATCGCCCATTTACATGGGACTCAAACGGGGCTTCAAGACTTGCCCCCAGATGACGTCACAAGCTGACGTCACGATCAGGTAGAATCGCCGGACGACCCTACCTGGTCGTCCACGTCCAGGTACCACCTTGTCCGGCCACCATCAAGGTGGCGTTTGTTTGAGGAGCAGCGGCCAGCCCGGTAGTCTGCGCTGTTGCATGTGCTAATATTTGATCACTGGTCAGCAGAAGCAGCACCAGACTCGTCTGTGAGAAACAGCAAGCAGCCGAGATTGTCAGTTGGGATTATGTAGATATTCATTAGCCAATAACTGCTGGCAGCTGAAATATACGATCGTATATAGGTATCGGTAAGCGAAGCAAGCACACAGTACCAGTAGGTATACTAGGTAACTCACCATCAGCCATTTCAGTATCTTACCTAGCGTAGGCGGCGGAACGAGGGGGCACCGGGGCGCTGTGGCCCCCTTTGATTTTGACATTTTAACATTATCACTATGGGCGTTGCATGGAAAGAGTGGGACCAAAAGTCGGCAGTGCCTCCCCCCCCCCTTCATTGAAGGTGTTTCGCCGCCACTGTTACCTAGTTACCTACTATGGAAGTTTAATAGCAATTGAAACATTTCGAAGTCATTGATACGGCAGATGCAATGTCATTGGCATTGCCTATGTCACTAAAATAACAAAAAGAGGGAGACATCCTTTTAATTTCTCATAGCATGGTCTTCAAAAAGCATCCATGTAAATATTCCCATTGCGTTACATGGTTTACGAGAAGAATGATTGAGTATAGTCGAACAGCCGACCTGAATTATCATATCAGTTTTTTTTTGTCATTTGATGCGGATTGCGGGCTATAAAAAACCTACTCACCAGTCGTCCTGTCCACTGGTATCTAGCAACGTTGTTAAGCTTCATATTCCCGTCACCGGCTAGAACGTCCCACTGATCGACCCAACTGCCCCACTGCACTGCCGAAACCAGCTCCAGATGAGTGACTAACTCAGATAGCAGCGCATCCTGGATCGGCTGCTATCCGTGCCGGGTGCAGTGCCACCGGAACGACGTCAGTCACGGAGCTGAGACCGATTGTGACGCAAATGTGATATAGTTATTTTTCATGTGAATATGATTCACAGTGACGAACAACTATTGCAAGCATACCCCTACAGATGTTTTAAAACAGTGCTTATATTATCATCCCTTTAGCATACAACGAATGCGCTTTATGCTAACGGCAGATTACAGGGTGTCCCAAAATTAATGTCACACCCTCCCACAACCTTTTTGTTTTACTTGCCTTCTACGGCGCAATTTCAATATAATTTCCCGGGTACTGGCTTCCATACCATATTGGCAATATTCTAGTCACGTGACCTTCGTATTTGTGTGACCATGACCGGTCAAGGGGTGTACGGAGGTCATTTCCGGGGTAGTACTCGGCGCGCGCGTACCAGGTGTCCAGGGAAGCAAAGCCGCACAGCAAATAGTCCAACAGCGGGGAACTCGGCATAGTTGCCGGCTGTATGACCCACGACCAGGTCGCCGAGCCACTGGGCATGAGTTGCCGCACGCTTTGGCGCTGGTTGTCACGGGACAGAAGCGGATAGACGCTTAATTAACCCTCGCCCCACTGGGGGGGGGGGGATATTCATAGGCATCAATTTGACACCTTGTGTCAAAATATGAACTTCGTAGGTACCATAAGTCCGCCGAAAATAACGTCAGAGTGACGTCATGTTCGGCCGATTTCGACGCAAAACATTGAACCACGGCAATCGCTCCCAAGGGCTCAGTTTTGAAGCTAGATCCAATTTCTTTGCATAAGAGGACTCACAATAGACTGCGCTATCAAACTACCATCTCGGATTTTCGAAATGTTGAAAATTATGAAAATCATTTATAATAAAATTCAAAATTTATATTTTATCTTTTATCAAAAAGTTCTTGACTTTTCCAAAAACTGGAATATATGTGGTAGAACACATGCTTATGACGTACTCAAGCAAGTTTCAGCTAAATATCTTCAAAAATGGCCAAGTTATACGCATTATTGCAAAAAAAATAACAATTATAAATTTTTCAAATTAATTTTTCAGTACGTATTTGACATCTTACACCAAAAAAATAGCACCATCGTGTTGCTGAGCTCAACCTGCATCCAATACACACCTTTTTTGTTGAAAAATTATAACTTCAAAATTTGACCTTTTGACCTGAAAGTGACCTAAGCTAAATTTAACTCAAAATGACCTCAAATGACACAAACGACATCAAATTCGAAATCTATGACCTAAATGGACCATAAAACATGTGTTACGTGACCAACGTATGATATAATATTTCCGTGACATGTGATAACCTGACCCTGACCTGAAAATCAAAGTACAAGTTTGGTACCCTCAGGGTATCTAAAGTATCTTAACGGGTGTGTAAACAAAAAATGAGCTTGATTTGACTTGTAAGAGGGCGGCCAGAACCCAAAATGTGAACAAGCCAAAATGGTAATAATTTTTACTTTGACCTGACCTGTGACGTCATCGGTGACCTCAAGGTCAATGAAATTAGGTTTCGTTCGACAGTTTTTCCGGGGCTATCCGACGCCGTTTGAACTTGACAATCAACCCAGTAGTTTCGGAGTTAGAAGGGGGGGGGCTATGAAGAGCCCCCCCCCCCCAGTAGGGGGCGTTATACGCAGACCCCAGTGGGACGCGGGTTAAGATCCGATTATTTGTTTGCTTAAGTAGGTCAGAGGTCAGGTCAAGGTCAGGTCAAGGGTACAAAATGCAAGTTTCTACAGTATGGGCCTTGCACCGTAGCTGCCGAAGAATGGACTGAGACTGATTGTCCAAAACGTGTTCTTAGGCTATCAAGACAATATTCGTTGCATACAATATCATGCAAAGGTCAAGGTCAAGGTCAGGTCAGGTCACCAAAAATGAAATATAGAAAAGGTCATGTGCGACACATGTTTTATGGGCCATTTTATTCATATAATTCAATAGGCACACTCAATAAGCGATATGGACAACATCTGGATGAATTTCAGGTCGAGGCCAGGTCAAGTTCAGGTCAAATCAGGTCAAATTTTTAAGTTGGTTGTTAAGACCTAACAAGGTGTCTATGTGATGCAGGTTTTTATAGCTAATCGAATGGTGCTATTTTTGTTTCCGTACGAGGTCTAGAACGTCAAAAAATCATTGTTTTTGAAAAAATTGTGTGTCGTGACGTCATAAAAGTTTGAATAACTCCCTTATTTTTGAACTGATTCTTCTAAAATTTGGTATGTAGGTGCACATGGACCACTTTTCTGACACTTTTTCCGGTTTTTCGATACACTCACTATTTTGGATTTTATAATGATTTTCCCAAAAAGTCAGTTTTTTTAAGAAAAAAAATTGGCCAAAATCCAACGTTTTCAAAAAACCGAGATAGCTATTTGATAGACAAAGTAGAATCACGTATAACCTTTTTGTTACGTCTTGATTCCTTGACCCGCGCCCCAGTGGCGGTCTCAGCCAACTTTGCCCTAGTGGGGGGGGGGGGGGCACATGTTACCACCCACCTCTAACTCAAAAACTAAGAGGGCTAGAAAGACGCGGTAAAAAGCAGTCGATAGCTCTCAATGAGTACGTTTGAAAGTATTTCGGTCATTTTTCACCTTAGAGCAATATTGGGGTCACTGGAGGTCATCAAAGGTCAAAATTTGCCAAATGTCAATATATTTCTCAGAAAACATGCATTTATCTCAGGAACTATGATAGCTAAACATGGTGTGTCAAAAGTGGAAATAGCCGGTGCGCCGTCTGGCAACCCGGCAGCCCGCCGCCATAGGGAAATTCATGCTTTTTGTCGCTTTTTCGCTCCCTATGAGTCACTTGATCTAATTAGAGCTTAACTAGGAACGAGGCGGGTCACTTGGACGTATTCGGGAGCCGAATACGGTGTTTTGGAGCCAATACCTGGGAAACCCTGCCCGCCCAATGCGAGTTTTTAAGAGTCTGCATGCCCAAATTAACGTTGAGCGCGGCCGTTTTCGGTCGGTTTTCCCCGACCTTGTGGCGAAATCGCCTTATTTATTCAACCAGGATGGCCTAATTCGCTTAACTAGGAATGAGGCGTTGAAGAGAATTATTCAAGGAATAGAGCTGTGCAAAAATATTTTTTGTATTGTTAAAACTGTATCCGCCCTCGAACGATAAATATTGTTGACCCATCAGAAACACATCACCTGGAATGCGTTTGGACTTGGCTGGATCTAATATTAGCGAGTATCTGCTAATGCAGTTTCTTGGCTTGCATAGTACGCACACAAGCATACATACTTCCTGCCCTTGGTTATTCCTCAATTGAATGAAAATTTTGCTGTAATAACTATTCCAAGCAGTTAACAGGTTTTAGTGCAGTGCCAATTCGGAACCGTTCAGCGCCGCCAGTCTCCCAGGCGGCGCGTAACGGCTGCCGCCGGCCGCCGCGCCGTCGCTCTGGCAGGGTGTTTGATTTCATATCTCTGTTGCTAGAAAAGTTGTGGACCGATTTACTTGATTCTTGCATGAAAAGATCCGCCATTCAATTCTTAGCAGATAACGAAAATTTGACGTCAATTGCACGATCCGCTGCCCATATTGTGGTACTGCCATCTATTGACAAGGCTGGCGAACTAAAGCCGGGCGGCTATTTCCACTTTTGACACACCATGAAAAACGCATGAAAATGCAATCGATAGCTTTTGAACTCTTCTTTTGATAAGGTTTTTTATCAAAATTGACCTTAGGTCAACGGTTTAGCCTCCAGGGGCAAAAACTCCAAAAATAGCTGTTTTTACTTAATGTGTTTTTCGACAATAACTTTTGACTTAAAATAGCCACAATATTTCTATTGCCAGAATCGCGTTCCTCTCGCCGAGACGCGTCGAATGAACTATAATTTTACCTTGAAAGGTCAACTTGAAAATTTGACCTCAGGTCAAGGTCATGACCTGACCGAAAAAGGTCATGTTGCATATCATTCGATGCGTCTCAACAGGACAAACACAATGAGACCATCCCCAGCGTCTTATCTCTTTCCGATCGAGAGTTATTGGCAAAAACCTGTTTGTAGCCTCAAATGACCTCGGATGACCTTTCTAGAGGCTATCAGCAAAAAAGACACCTTGTTTGTCACGGGTGGTCCAAATCATTGTAATTCTGAAATATTTGGACTGTTCCTATGCGTACACACGGATCTAGAGGCATTTTCATTTTTCTCCATTGACTTATCCCTCGCCCATGTAGGGGGGGGGGGGTTGGTGCAACCCCCCCCCCCTGAGGTTTTTCTTAGCTACACGCCGAACCGTTTCAGATAGCCTGCTCAAATTTTCAGTACCCTATGGGGCATCCTTTGCGCAACTTTTGGTATTTTTTTGTCAAGGTCATGTCAGGTCACGGAGTTATGACGTCATAAAGGGAACAACCTCCGGCCAGATTTACGCTAAATTGGAGATTGCTTCACATTGGTATAAATGCCGACTGACCTGACACACTGATGGATTGTTTTAGAATCATAACTGGCTGATTTGACATTGGCACAATGTCCGTTGACCTTTTCAAGGTTACTAAAGGTCAAGGTCAGGTCAGTGACCTCGGTTGACCTGTAATGACTTCTTGCACTTGTATGCCTTTTCGGGGTATTTTGATGCCCTGAATTCGAATTTGCTATCCATTTCAGGCATCGTCGGTTGTTTCTTGTAGTTCATTTTGGGTCAGGGTCAGGTCAGTGACGTCACACGCCTGACGTGACCCAATGCACAAATGACCTTGCAGACTTCCGATGCTCCCAACGCATCATTTTTAGAGTTATGACATCGAAATACACACCAAACGATAGAGAATTGATCAAGGATCACGATAGTGAAGGTTTCAAGTCGATATCTCTCACCGTTTTGCCGCAATCGGCGCGGAAATCTGAAAAAGTTATATTTTTCAGAAAATTTGACCTTTGACCTGTCATAAGTAG